CTCACCGAGCCCCGGGAGCCGCGCGGCGGCTGCGGCGCAAAGTTAGCCCGGCGCCCCGGGACGAGCGCCGCAGCCGAGCCATGGGCGAGCACCCCAGCCCCGGCCCCGCGGTGGCCGCCTGCGCCGAGGTGGAGCGCATCGAGGAGCTGGAGCCCGAAGCCGAGGAGCGGCTGCCCGCGGCGCCGGAAGACGTGAGTGCCCCTACTGAGCCCTGAAAACTTTCTGGGGGGCGCTCCGCGGACCTGCCCCGGCCTCACCTCCATCCCGAGGAGGGACGCACTTGGAGGCTTCCAGGGCATGAGATAGCCCAGCGCCCAGGATGGGCCCGGGCGCGGCGCGCGGGAGGGGGCGGACCGAGCGGTCTCCCTCCGGAGGCTCGCGCGCACCCCGCGGCGCTCCGGCTCCCGCGGCTTCCCGGCGGCTGCGACAGGGACTTGACGGCCGCGGAGCCCCCTCCCCTCGGCTGGTGCAGTGCCCGGGACACGGCGTTTTCCTGCAGAGGCGGCCGCGTCACAGCAATGACTCCCCCTCCCTTCCCGTCCGCGACAAGCGGATTCTGCGAGCCGGGGAAGGAACGGCCACCGCAGGGTCCCGGGTCTGACCGCGCAGACGGATCTGGAGCCCCTTCTCGGCGCCCAGATTAGCTCCTGCTCGGCACCTGCCTTGTGGAGACACTGATTGAAATTCAAACTGAACCCCGCCAGAGCTGGGAGAGACGGGGTGCTGGAGCGGTTTTGCTCCCAGCAGGGGGCTCAGGAGTCCTAAACCCGGTCCGTGCCAGGAACGGTCCCCCGGGCAGTCTGGGGGCCCCTCCCCCCGAGGGCTTCCCTGCCATCTGCTGCTTGGATCTCCTGTCGGCCGGCCTGGGAGTCGAGGGTGGATTTGGCTCTGGGGAGCCCTGGGAAATGGAGTGACTAAAGCCCGGCGTTAGCCTGCAAATAGGGGTGAAAACCTCAGCCAGCACCCCGCCATTCCCAAGAGTAAAGCGAAGCCAGGACCCCCCACATACACCTACAAAACCCCAGCCAGCACATCTGAGTGGGCCGCGAGTCTAACGTCTCTCCCACTTCTCTGGTTAAACCCGTCACTCCTCCTGGCCCTAACTCCTGAGAGTCTCATGTACTCGTAGTCTTGCAAGCATATTGGGAAGCACCCCAGAAGCATGCAAAACATCCCGCGGGCATTAGTGCTCCAGCAGGGGTGAGTTCTCCTGAATAGGGGGGCCTCTGGCCCGCAGGGTCTGAGGACATTGCACCTGGGCGAGAGAATAGATGTGAGCTTCTCGTTGAGGTAGCAGAAGTTACCAGAAAGCCCTCAGACAAGGTTGAGAAGCCCATTCCTCCACCTGATTGGCCCAGCCCAGGGACACGTCTTGCTGCCCCATCTCCAGCCCCTCCTGCCTTTGCTCTTTAGGGGGATTTCCTGGGCTCTTCTGGTGGGCCCCTGAACCTAGTTCTGACTGCTGGGCAGCAGCAGCTGGGAGATGATGTGAGAAACCTTAGGGGGGAGTCTGCAGAGACCTTGGTGATAAATGTCTTTCTTTCTCTTTTCCTCCTCTCCCGCATGGCCTCTCTCTCTACCAGCATTGGAAAGTCCTGTTTGAAAAGGTATGTGAGCAGTTAAATACCCCCTTCCTTCCAGCCCTGCCTGAAAGCAGTCCTGGTCTCGGGTCTCGCTGCTTGCGTGGGCTTCCCTAGCTCTCCGCTCCCTAGATGGTGACGTGTTGTGGAGGCGGGGCATAGTGCGTCTTAGCGGAGCAACACTGTGCTCTGGATATCAGAAGACAGCAGTGGGCTCCCTGGGAAAATCTCTCCCGCCTTCCTCCTCTGCACCTCGGCTGGGTTTACACCACTTAGGAATTGGGACTGTATGCATCGAATGGGAAGTTTTTTGTGTGCAAGGGGGTTGCAGTAGGAGGCCGAGGTGAGGGGAGGGGCTTAAATGAACCATCCGCAGCTCCCTTTCTACCCTTATTATCAAAGATCTGTATAGCCCCCCAGTAAAGTAAAATCTCTGCCGCCGGGCGTGATGGCGCACACCTTTAATCCCAACAGTCAGGAGGCAGAGGCAGGGGAATCTCTGTGAGTTCAGGGCCAGGCTGGTCTACATAGTGAGTTCCAGGCCAGCTGGGGCTACAGGGAGACCCTGTCTCAAAGAGACCAAAAAATAAAAATAAATAAAAATAAATAAATAAAAAATCTCTGCCATCCTTGGAGGGTTACTCGCAAAATAGGGTTTTTGAAGCCGATCTTGTATCTTTGATTCTGCAGCTGAGATGGGCCAGTGCTGGGAGATTACAAATGGAAAATATAGTGATTATTTGCAGTGCCTGGAGTCTTAGGAGTGAGGAGTGGAGTTGGAAGTGCCAAGGGTTGAGTTTAAATCCAGAGATGGACATTTGACCTTCAGCAAGGAAACAGTTCTCATTTTTCCTTGGTGCTCAAGTAGTGTTAGGCATTTCCTTTCCCTGTTTGTTCTATAGTGCAGCAGAAGAGGTAGGAAGGTGTCCCAGTGTGGGTGGATGCTGCACACTCCAGTCCTGGGATGAAAGTATCTATGCCATGAAGTTTGTGCAACTTGAAGAGATCAGACAGCCTGTGTAAGCGAGGCATGGTGGCACACACCTGTGATGCCAGCACTTGGGAGACAGAGGCAGGAGAGTCAGGAGTTCAGGGCCATCCTTGAGATGGCTACAGAGCTAGTTATGAGGCCAGCCTGGGCTACACGAAACCGGTCTTAAACAGAGTGACAGAGACAGAGACTGACTTTTTTTGCCAGAGAAAATATATTGGGTTAGAGAGGAAGGGAACTAAATATGAAAAGGTAGCTTGATCTGGACTTTGTTTTAGACAGGAAAGCTTTTGAAAGTTTTGTTATTGTTTAGCAAAGTTAGAGGATCCAGATGATACTTGGAAAGAAGAGGAGATAGGTTAGAGCACTGCTGCTGTAAGAACAGACAAGCACCTGTATGAACCAGCTTTCCCTTACAATAATAGATGTCAGTTTATAAAGAGAAAACATTTGTTTTGGCTCACAGATTTGGAGGTTCCAGCTCTTGACTGGCCCCTTGCAAGGAGGCACACCGTGGTAAAGTATGTAGGAGAGCAAAAGCCACTTACTTTGTAATAACCATGTGACAAAGAAGGAGAAGAGACTGGAGTCCCACCGTCCCTTCTAGGGTATATCCCCAGTGACCTGAGGACCTCTTGTTGGGCCCAACCTCTTAAGTTTCCACCACTTCCCAATAGCTCCTAGCTGAGGAGCAAGCCTTTAACACATGTCACTTGGAAGGTGACAGTGAGATTGGGAAGAAGGAGAGATGGTGGAAGGAGAATAGGAAGCTATTAATAGACCCGAGTAGCTGAGGGGTGCCACATCCCTAACTGCGATTCTGAACTTAAGAAGAAAATGAAAAGTAGGATTGGGGAAGGGTGGCAAAAAGTGATAGATTTGGTCCAGAAAAGCTTAATTTGAGGAGTCAGTTAAATGTAGTTACCCTGTGGGACCTACAGGCTGAAAGATCTGAGGGCCTGGGTGAGCCCTCAGAGGCCTGGATAGGATAGAGTGTCTCTCCCTCAGCTCCCAGTGCCACCTACTCTCCCTCTGGTCTCTTAAGAGTATCCCGGCTGCTGGCCTGATGCCCCAAGGCAGGAGGGAGCCACTCTGTAACCACTGCTATGCTTAACCACCAAGCTGCCAGCCTTTCACACCTCCTGCCAGATTTAGAATCAGAACCTAGAACAAAGTGTATCATGCTTTTTTCCTCTGTGTCTTTCACATTTGACTAATTTCCTTTGCCAGTTTCTGTGTGTGTTTACATTTTAAAGCAAACCATTTGGATGAATGGAAGGGAATTTTCAGTGGGAAGAGCTTGCAACGGGAAAGCAGTTCCAAGCAGGGAGAATGAGTGGCACCCAGTGTTAGACAGTGGTCCATAAGATCCAATGGGAGGGAAGTCCTGGGCCTCCCAAAGAGCATCCACTCTGCTCCTAGGGAGGCTCACTCAGAAATCAGTGCAGACTAGGGGGGTACCTCAGGGGGAGAACTCTTGCCTACATGCACCAGGCCCTGGGTTAAATCCTCAGCCTTGCAAAGTCAATCAATTCAGTCACTCTGACAGACAAAACAAACCAGGAAAAGAGCTACCAACATTGACTCTGGGCCATTTTTCTCTTACCATAAGTTCTGCCTGATTTCTGCTCTCCATCCTTCATGAGGCATCTGAAGCTTGATCCTTCCTGAGGATGTTTTGTGTTTAAGGATTGCTGCTCCTGAGCATGGGTTTGGCCTCTGGCCCAGGTCCAGTCCCTCTGCATTCACTGCCCCAGTCTTTTGACCCTTTCTCAGCAAGCTAAAGGGAGGGCAGGTATGAGGATCCTTCAGTAGAGACTTGGCCTGAGAAGGGTAGCAGGTTGTCCCCAAAGCAGGTTTGTCTTTCTTGCCTCTTCCTCTGACTAAAAGTAGTGTTTGGTCATTGATGAATTTGGTGCCCATGGGAAAGAAAGTTTGGCTGGAGATGGTAGGTAGGCTCCCCAGTGTTTCCTACAACCCTGATAGTTAGTGAGTTTTTGGGACATGACACCTGTCAGAGTCCCTCCAAGAAAATGCAGTCCATGAACTCATCATCCAGAAGTTGTTACTAGAGTTCTTAGGGACAGAGCCTAGGCCCTGCCAATCGTAACAAGCTAGATTTGGCCACCCACCCTCTGTAGGCCAGTTAAACAGACAAAGTTATCATGAAAAGAAAAGAAGGAGTATTTATTTAATGTGGCCACATTGGGAAGAGGAACAAAGAATCCAGTAACCCTCCAACCCTGTCTTCTAGGCACTGACACAAGGTTTAGGCTTCAATATCAATAGCAAGAAGTAAGCAGTCCTGCCAAGGTGTGGTCCCACCCATCACTGACCCTCCATCTCTCTTCAGTCTCTTCTGCAAAGTAGTTTGACAAGTTGTCAGGTCTCTGTGAAATCTCTTTCCAGGAGACAAGTTTCTCCTTTGGCTGGCACTAAACTTCAGCCTTTTCTTTATCCCAGTGTGAGACTCCTTGAGTAATTCCAATTTCTTGGGGACCCTTGTTTCAGTATCCTGATAGCCAAAGGGAAGGGCACAGGTAACTTTCTAGAATATCTTCATTCTTGCCAGGACAGTTACAAAGGTCAGTGGCATGGGAGCCTGGAGTGGCCCAGCATGTCTTCCCTCCCCTTCCTGGGTCAGGGGCGCACCAGTGGTCACCCAGTTTCAAACTGGGATTGGTTTCCCAGATGTTGGGGATAGAATTGGCACAACTTCTCCATACTGTGCGGTTCTTTAGTGTGCAGAGAAGCCTTGTTCACGAAGCCCAAGGGAGAGACACTGCCATGTTGACCTCATTTTTATGTGGCCATTCTTAAAGTAAATGGCCAGGATGCCTTCTGGAGATTTGAGGTAGGAAAGTGGGTAACCCTAGTCTCTTGGAGGCTTCTGCATCTTCCCTATGGTCTGGCCTTTGTCTGATCTGCTCAGGAGGGATGTAGCAGGGCAGTTCCTACCAGTTCCTCACGGGCTACAAAAGTAAACCCGAGGGTTCTGTTTGTTGTCCACGTGTCCCATGTGTACGTTTCCTACGTGAACTTCTCTGTAAAGGGACTGCCTTTTCATATCTTTGGGATCTTGATGGTTTTCCTAAATATTTAAATAGACTTTAAAACTATTAAGCCAGCAGGATGGCTCAGTAGGTAATGGCTTTTGCTGCCAAGCCTAAAAGACCTGAGTTCTGTCTCCAGGACCCACATGGTGGAAGGAAAAGATTGACTCCTGAAAGTTGTCCTCTGACCTCCACTGGAGCTGTGGAACATGTGCACCTCCACACAAAATAAATAAATAATGAAGTTACTATAGGCCTGGAAGTATAGCTCAGTGGTAGAGTGTTGGGTAGCATATATATAAAGCCTTGGTTCAGTCCCAGCACTGCGAACAGTGTAATAATAATAAACATTATTACAAGCATGGATCTGTTGTTATAATGTAATATCATGGCAGAAACAGCTTCTTTTTTGTGTGACATTTCCATCATCAGAAGTCCTTTTCCTTCTGTGGTTTCAGACCTGAGACAGTCTCCATCCCTCCCCAGATCTCATTATTTACCTTCCTATTTCCTACTCCTTTTTCTATATTATAGTCATAAATCCCTGTACTCCACCTGGGTGTTACTGCTGTCTGTTTATACCAGCATGGCTTACTAAGAAACTTTTCAGGGGCTGGAGAGATGGCTCAGCGGTTGAGAGCACTGACTGCTCTTGCAGAGGACCTGGGTTTGGTTCCCAGCACCCATATGGCGGCTGCGAACCGTCCTTAACTCCAGTTCCAGGCGAATCTGAAGCCCTTTTCTGACCTCTGGGGCATTGCACGACATGGGTGCACTCACATACATGCAGGCAATACACTCGTACACATAAAATAAAAATAATAAATAAAATATTTTAAAAAAGAAACTTTTCAAGTACTAAGAAATTGTATCATTTGGTAAATTTTTGTATGTCTCCTTTATATGGGTTTATCTCTGATTTCTGGTCTCTGCCACTGGTATTTGTAATTCTGCACAGATAATACACTTGTTGGTTGTTGCTT